TCAAAACGCTTTGAAGTAGATATTCACCGCTGCGAGAGAACTCGAAAGCCTTGGCCAGAACCATGCCCAGCAGTGCCGCAAGAAGGCATCCAGAATAGAAGGCGATTGCATAAAGCGCGACGCTGAGCCGGCTTTGACCTTTCATTGGGCGCACTAAACCCCACGCCAAAAAACAAAGGCCCACGAAAATAATGAACCCCTGCGGCTTGGTCATGAAAGTGCCCCGTGCTTGGCAATCCGGGAGTATGAATTCTCAGCGATATCAACCCGAATTGCCGTTGCCACCTTGTTCTCTTACACCTTTTCCGGCACCACAAATGGCTTGCGGTACTCTCGGGTGATTAGTGCGTTGGCCTCGGGGTTGTCGATGAACTGCTCTTTTTCGACATCGACGGTGAGTGTTTTGCCGAGGCGGTAAGACATGTCTTCCAGGTTCAGGCCGACGCCTTCGCCAAGGTTTTCTTTGAGATTCTCGAACGTTTGGTGAACCTCTTTGTTGTCGCCGAGGGCTTTGGTTTTGCTGTTGAAGGGGACTTCTTCGCCCAAGCGGTACGAGGCGTTGGCCAGGTGGCATAGAGCGCTGGAGAAGTGACCTTCGATCGCCTCGGCGTTGAGGTCCTCTTGATCGCGACTGCGAACCGCATTGATGAAGCTGCCGAAGGGGCCGCCGGAGGCGACCGTGGCTTCGACGTCGAGTCGCTCGGGCGTGCCACCGCCCTTGGGGTGGAAGCGGCCGTCGGAGATTACGCCTTCGGTGGTGTAATACTCGTTGCCGACTTTGCGTTCCGACTTCGACTCGCCTTCAACCAAGCCACGCACTTCGAACACCAGCAGCGTGTCGCCGAACTCGCAGACGGCCATCTGGGTGTTGGGGGTTTCGCCTTGATCTTCGTAGCCGAAGCGGCCGCCGAGGCTCCACACCTTGGTTGGTAGCGTGGCATCTTTGATGGCCCAACGGGCGAGGTCCATTTCGTGCACGCCCTGGTTGCCGATATCGCCGTTGCCGGTATCCCAGAACCAGTGCCAGTTGTAATGAACGAGGTTCTCGTGGAAGTCTTGTTCGGGGGCGGGACCGAGCCAGAGGTTGAAATCGAGCGCCGCCGGGGCTTCCTTCACCGGCTTGTTGCCGATGCTCCAGCGGGGTTTGCAGCAGTAACCTTTAGAGACGAGCAGCTTGCCATACTTGCCTGACTGAGCGGCGGCGATTTCTTTGGCCTTGCCGATGTTGCTGCGGTTCTGGGTGCCGTGCTGCACGATGCGGTTGTACTTTCGTGCGGCCTCGACGGCTTGCCGACCTTCAAACACGTTGTGGCTGAGCGGCTTCTCGACGTACACGTCTTTGCCGGCCTGACAGCCCCAGATGGTGATGAGCGAATGCCAGTGATTGCAGGTAGCGACCGAGACGGCATCGAGGTTGTCGTCGTCCAAAGCTTCGCGGATGTCTTGCACGCAGGTGGGATCGTTTCCGCCCTTGCTGCGGACCATGCTGCTGCGGGCTTCGAACAGGCTGCTATCGGGGTCGATGAGGTAGGTGACTTCGACATTGTCCATGGGGGCGAAGGCATCGATGTGCGATTTGCCGCGTCCGTTGATGCCGGCCACGCCGATGCGAATCGTGTCGTTTGCACCCAACACTTTGCCCGAGGCTTTGGTGCCTGCGATGGTGAACAACGGAAAGACCGTGCTAGCCGCGGCAGTGTTCTGGATAAAACGACGACGGGTCAACTTCGACATGTTTCTTGCTCCTCACCCCACCAGTGTGTGATTGATATAGCCCAGAGTTAGTAGAGTAACGGCTGAGCCGACGTTTGTCCAAAAATGCGAAGGTTTTCGGGGGATATTGAGGCAGTTGGCGTAAGTCGTAGTTGGTGCGTCTGCGCTTCGCTGGAAGGCACCCTATGTTGTTGGGTTGCGCGTAAAAAAACGCAGAGGTCGACCGTGGTGATCGACCTCTGCGTGGAGTTGCTACTGCGTTGAGTAACGAGACGACTACATCGTCCAGCCGTCGCGGTACTCGGGGCGGATGATGGTGGCAACTTCGGGGGCGTTGGTGGCCTCCAAGTTTTCGGCGTCCCATTCCACCTTCTTGTTCGCCCACAGGGCCAGGTTGCCCAGCAGGATGGTTTCGGTGAGCGGACCGGCGTAGTCTTCGAAGTTCGACATGGCCTTCGGACCACCCTTGATGGCGCGAACCCATTCTTCGAAGTGACCGGGCGAACGCTCGAACTCGACCTCGGGCTTTTCGACATCGCCCAGGATTTCGAATTCCGCACCGTAATCGTTGGGGGAGAAGAGCTTGGCCTTGCTGCCGATGAGGATCGAACCGCTGGACGAAGGCGTGCGTCCGTCGAGCAGTTCGCTGGAGGGCAGCTTACCACCGTCGTACCAAACGAGCTTCACCGCCGGACGCTTGTCGGTGGCGGGGAACTCAAAGTTGATGACGGACCACTTGGGATAGCTTTCACCATTGTGGCCGGCATGTTCGGCTTCGACCGAAGTCGGGTTCTTCAGATCGCAGGCCTTGAAAGCCATGTTCATCGTGTGGCAGGCCATATCGCCGAGAGCACCGGTGCCATAGTCCCACCAGCCGCGCCACTTGAAGGGATGCACGTTCTTGGCATACGGCTTCTTGGGCGCCGGGCCGAGGAACAGATCCCAGTGGATGTGCTCGGGGCATTCCGACTCGGCCGGCCACGAACCACCTTGGGGCCACACGGGTCGGTTGGTCCACACGTGCACTTCGTTCACGTCGCCAATTGCGCCGGCTTGCACCAAGGCTGCGGCTTCGCGAAGACCGCTTTCGGAGGTGCCCTGGTTGCCCATCATCGTGGCAACTTTGCTTTCGCGGGCTACGTCGCCCATCAGGCGGGCTTCGTAGATGGCTTTGGTGAGCGGCTTTTGGCAGAAGCAGTGCTTGCCCATCCGCATGGCCATCAACGAGGCCGGAGCGTGCGAGTGGTCGGGCGTGCTGACGGTAACCGCGTCGATGTCGCCTTCCATCTCTTCGAGCATCTTGCGGTAATCGTTGTACTTCTTGGCGTTGGGGAACTTCTCGCTGGCGCTGTTCAAGCGCTTGTCGTCGATATCGCAGATGGCAACGACGTCGCCGTTCTTGCCGGCATCTTCCGAATCGCTGGAGCCCTTACCGCCGATGCCGATACAGGCGAATCGGATCTTTTCGTTGGGCGACTGGCTATCTTCGGCCAGCGAGTTGCCGGCGACCCAAAACCCAACACCGGTGGCGGCCGTCGTCTGCAAAAAGCGACGGCGAGTTGTTTGCTGATGCATCCACTTAGCTCCTTGATTCAAACAGAAATCGTCTGTGTCTAAGAATATGAAGGTGGGGGGGAGACGGCTGGGGGCCGCCTGTTCTAGGAGTGAACTTACTTAACACGATAACGTGGATCGGATCGTGTCGCAAATCTCCCGCCTGTGCAGGTTTACGAATTGTTAATCTCCATCGGGGTGGGTCCAGGGGGGATGGTCCCGGCACCCGGGCTTCGATACATTGGCGGCTTGACGAAAAGCCCGGTGGGCGCGGCCGAATCGAGGGCCCCGGCCCGCTGCGGAACAGCAATAACTCTGCGAAATATCAGCACTTTTTTCGAGGGAAACGGTTCTATGAGGCTGCGGTTGCTAGTGAGCGTGTTGGGACCTTGTGTCTTGTTGTCTACGGTCGGATGCCGACCCTCGGGCGAACCTCAAGCCCCGCCGGCCCCAGAAAGCGGTGCCGAAACATCTGCGGAGGATACTGCCAGCGGTAGCCCCGAAGCTCCGGCCGCTGAGCCCAAGGACGAAGGGCCTAAAGCCGATCCGGCGGTGGTCGAGGCGCTGCGCGAGAAGGGTTTCAAGCTGACCGAAGATTCGGCCGGCAAGATCGTCGGGTTCGACTATGGCCGGATGCAGATTAATGATTCGGACGTAGCCCAGCTCTCGGAATTGCCGAACCTGCAAACGGTGGTGATCATGGGCCCCGACGTGACCGACGCGGCCATCGATAGCCTGGTGGCACTGACTCAACTTCAGGACCTGACCCTCGAAAATACGGCGGTGACCGATGCTGGCGTCGAGAAACTGGTCGCCCTGGAAAATTTGCGCGAGCTGAACCTGCGGCGGACGAACATCACCGACGAGGCCATGCAATACCTGGCGCAGATCGAGGGGCTCGAACAGCTCATCTTGATGTACAACAACCTGACCGACGACGGGCTGGATCCGCTCAAGCAGCTTACGAAGCTGAAGCTACTCGACTTGCGAGGATGTTCGATCTCGGACATGGGGTTGGAGTATCTCGAAGGGGTCAAGTCACTACGGGCTCTGAAGCTGCGAAGCAGTGAAATCTACAACGAAGGACTCGCTTCGCTGAGTGGATTGACCGAGATGCGGTCGCTGATTGTGGAAGACTCGCAAATTTCCGGACGCGGATTGGAGTCGTTGTCCCCGCTGGTGAACCTGACCGAACTGGTTCTGTTTCGCAACACTTCGATTCGTGACGGACTGGCGAGCCTGGAGCCGATGACGAAGCTCGAGCGGCTGTCGCTTCGAGACACTCGAGTGACCGACGAAGAGCTCGCGCACCTTTCCGGCTTGACACAACTGAAGCTCCTGGACCTAAGCGAATCGCCCGTCGGGAGCCCTGGGATGCAGCATCTATCGGGCCTCAGCAAACTCGAAACGCTGCTGATGTGGAACACCGACGTCGGCGACGAAGGCCTGGCCGCGCTGAGCGGTTTGACCAACATGAAGGAATTGGTGCTGGAGAACACCAAGATTACCGATGCCGGGCTGGCTAGCCTCTCGGGCATGACCAACCTGACCAAGTTAGATCTGAAGAAGACAGCGATCACCGACGGAGGACTGAAAGAGCTCGAGAAGCTCAAGAATCTGAAGGTGCTGGTGCTGAAGTTGACTGACGTTTCGGATGAGGCTGTTGAACAACTTCAGAAGGCGCTGCCGAATACTGACATTCAGATCTAGGCCGAGAGACAAAGGCTTTCTGGCTAGTCGTTCTTTTCTTTCAAACCGGCGGCGGTTCGGCGGGCATTCCATGCTTCGCGGGTGTCTAGCTCCACTCCCGGGTCTGTCTGCTCAGCCATCCAGCGGTCGAGTTCTGCGGACAGTCGGGCTTTGACTTCGGCGTAGGCAGGGTCGTCGGCCAAGTTGGTCAGTTCGTACGGGTCATCGCTGGTGTGATAGAGCTGTTCTGCCGGACGACGCATGTAGCGTTGGACCAACGCATAGGTGTGGTCGTTAACAGGCGAAGTGTACATCCAGGTGGGCCAGTAGGGCGTATGATCGGCGAGGCCCATCACGTGCCGCTCGATGTAGGTGGCCTCCGGCGTCAGATTGCGGATGTAATGGAAGTGCCGATCGCGGACTGAGCGGATTGGATAGGGCGGCCCCTCAGGCACGTTGTTGTGCATGGCGTAGCAGTACGGTCGGCCCTGAGTGTCTTCGCCGGCGAGAGTGCCCAGGAAGCTCTGGCCATCGAATTGCTCCGAAAGAACCTCGCCGCTGGCGGCTTCGATGAGGGTTGGCAGTACGTCGGCGTATTGAACCAGTCTGTCGGTTTGCGTGCCTGGAGTTACATGTTCGGGCCATCGAACCACGAAGGCGGTGTGAATACCCTGTTCCCAGTTGGTCCATTTGCAGCCGGGAAATTGGGCCCCCTGCTCTGAGGTGAAGATCAACAGCGTGTTGTCGGCCTTGCCGGAGGCTTCGAGGGCATCCAGCACATCGCCCAATTGCTGGTCCATTACTTCGATCTCGGCCAGGTACTTGGCGAAGTCTTGCCGGGTTTGTTCGGTGTCGGCAATGTTCGGCGGTAATTCGAGTGTTGCGGGGTCGAAGTGCTCAGGGTCGCCCACCGACCAGGGCACGTGCGGGGTGACCAGCCCGACGACTAGGCAAAACGGTTCGCCTCCGGCTTGCGACATGAAGCGGCGGATGCCTCCCGTGTCGTGATCGGCCGTCGGTTTGACACAGCCGCGTTCGAAGCCGGGCACTTTCTCGAAGGGGAAACTTTCGGCCGGGGACACGTGATATTTTCCGGTGAGACCCACGCGGTAGCCTAAGTCGCCCAGGTAATGGCAGATGCTCTTCGTGCCGGGACGGGCGGCCGCGTGATTCCAACTGGCGCCGCTACGGTTCGGGTATAGGCCGGTATACATCTCGGTGCGGCACGGCAGGCACATGGCCATCGACACGTAGGCATGCGTGAACTGCAGCCCCTCCTTCGCCAGCCGATCTACGTTCGGTGTGACAACGTTGGTTCCACCGTGGATCGGCAGGTCGCTGAACGTGCAATCGTCGGCGATGACGATCAGCACGTTCGGTTGATCACCAGCGGCCTGGGCGATGGAACTGGAACCAATCGACAGAGTGACTGCGATAGATAGGAATAGCTTGGCGAGTCGAGCATACGATAACTTCTTAATCACAGTTAAGAACCTTCTTCGGCGCGGTCGCCTTCGTCGGTGGAGAGGAACACTTCGTGCACGTCCAGCGAACTGGGACCTCGGAACATTTCCTTGGGCGGGCGATTGGCATGGGCTTCTGCGAAGGCTTCACTTCGGGTCCAGGCCACGAAGTCTTCCATCGAACGCCACCAGGTTTTCACTTCGTAATAGCCTTCGTTCTCTTCGTCGGGTACGAACTCGCCCGTTTCGTGATCGAAACGCATAGGACAGGGGCGGTGGACTTCGTTGCGAATGAAGCCGGGCGATTTGTCGACTAAATGCACGCGATTGCGAAAGCGGTCTTCGAAGTCGATCTCGTGCCCTTTTGCCACGGGAATGCGATTGGTGACGACGATCATGAGGTTCGATCCTTCGATTGGGAATTACGGTTCAAGGTTTGCTCACGTAAGGCCTGGAAGTGTTCAGCCCAGGTCGGCACTGCTGGGCAAGCCAGCAGTGGCATCCACGGCAAGCAATCTGTTCGCTAGATGAAGATGTCGGAGGTGCAATCACCGCCGGGGTAGCGTACCTCGTGGGCGCGAGCGGGGCCGCCGGGTTCTTTGCCGAAGTCGACTAGGAAATCTTTGTTGAGCTTTATCCCGCCGTTCTTGGTATCGCAGTCGATTTGCACCAGCGTTGAACCATTCTTGGCCATCTCAGGATAGAACTGGTTATCCCAACTGCTCAGCAGCGAGTTGGTCACGTAGAGTCGCTTGCCGTCGAGGCTGAGCTGAATCATCTGCGGGCCGCCGCCGAGGTGCTTGCCGTCGATTGTTTCGCCCTTGCCGAGAAGTCCGCCGGTCCACACTTGGCCGGTGAGCTTAGGATGGGCCGGGTCGGTGATGTCGTATTGCCGTACATCGCCGTGCAGCCAGTCGGAGAAGTAGAGGAAACGATCGTCCATCGAAATCAACAAGTCGGTGATCAGCCCGGGGACTGGGAATGGCCAGCCTTCGAGTTCGACCGAGGGGACGGAGATCACCTTGTCGGCTTGCCACTTTCCATCCTTGCGGTGACAGTGCCACATGGTGCTCGACAGCGCGGCGCCCACGAACGCGTGCTCGCTGTCTGGGTTGTGCATGAAACGGACTTCCAAGGGGATTAAGCCCTCGGCGCCGAGGTCGATCGACTGTTCGATCTCCCGTTGCGACCAATTCCAGAAATGGAGCTGATGACCGTATTTGTCTGCCTCTACGTCCTTGAGATCGAAACCGGGAGTGAAGGTTTTGGGGGCGCCCCACTCGCTGCTAATCATCACGTTCTTGCGTGGCTGGTACCAGAAGTCGTAGTTGTAACGCATGCCTTCGGCCGACTGCTCCCAGTGGCCGGCGACGTCGAAGTTGCTGTCCAACAGCAAGAAGCCGCCGGGCCCGTTGCCTTGGGCATCGCCGAGCATCGAGATCATGATGTCGCCGCTGGGGAGGCAGTGCACCGTGTGCGGGGCCGAGAGGTTGGTCTTTTCGGCGATCTCTTCCGGCTCGATCACTTTATGGATCTTCAGATTGCGTTCGTCTTTGGCATCGATGATGTGAATGCGGCTCGACCCCAGGCCTGGCACGACGAGGTAGTCGCGCGAGTGGCCTTCATGAGCGTTGCAGCTACTGCAGGTGTTCCAGCCGAAGTGGTGCAGCTCGTCGCCCACATTGGGCATCGGCAGGCGGTCGATCACTTGGCTGTAGGTCGGCGATTCGGGATCGACATCGATGGTGGCCAGGTAGTCGGGCTTATCGACCGGCGTGCCGACATAGAGGGCCATGGTGTAGAGCAACTTCTCGCGGGGAGCCTTCATGGCTTCCGCGGGATTGGCGAAGCCAGGACCACAGGCGGCTTTGTGTTCATGTTCGGCAGCGACAGCTCCCGACGGCAGAAGAGTGTGCGCCAGCCCGGCAGCTGCCGTGGTTGCTAGAAAATCTCGTCGTCGCATCGCACCAACTCCCAGAGGATTCGCTTGCTTGATTGGTAGAGAAACACCCCAAGCGCGGATTATATCCTCAATTGGGCGACGATGCGCGAAGGGCGGAGAATCGCCCACGGATGAAGTGACGATCGAGCGCGCTCTGTATGGAACGCCTTCCCGTGGCGTTCTGGACGTAACGGCAATCCGCGGAACGCCACGGAGGGCGTTCCCTCCAGCGGGGATGATACTCCCGAGTGTTCGAGATTTACGCGGCTTCGGGTGATATGGCCGTGGCCGGCTTGTGGTAGTCGAACCAGGAGTCCCAGGTGCGGTCGAGCGTGACTAGTGCCGACTGCAATGGAAGGGCGCGGAGTTTCCCGTCGGGCAAGGTCTCGACTAGCTGCATACGGACGAGTTTCTGCAGCGCATCGTCGGCCTCGAAATCGATGGGGCGCCCCATCTGTTGTTCGAGGAACGCTTCCACTCGCTGATCCAGTTCGGCCAGTGTCCAGCCTGCTTCCGGGGCATGTTGCCACAGGAAGTAGTAGGCGAGCACGGCTTCTCGGAATTCCTGGTCTTCGGCCTCGTCGAGCACGTACGACATCACTCCGCCATTGTGGCCCAAACTTTGGAAGTACAGGCTTTGCGAGAGTTGGAGCTGATATTGTTGCAATGTCTTGTGATAGCCGTAGACCGAGCGCATCCCGTAACCCACGGCCCCGGCGCCTAAGGCGGCGATGCCGATGGGGCCCTGTAGACCGAGCATGACGAGCTTGGCGATCTTCGATGCGGTGACACCCACACCGGAGACAATCGGCAGGACGATCTTTCCACGGTCGCCCCATTTCATCGTGGGACGCGAGCCGGGCAGAAGCATTTCTAAATCTGCGTGTGGGATGTTCTTGAACAGCTTGATGTAAATCGCGTTGGGGTTCACAAAGAACCGTAAGCGTTTGTGCTGACGAACCCGGAAGGCGACGACCAGCCGTTGGAACGTGGGGATCTCGATTTCCACCTCGCGGCGGAGGTTCTTCCAACGGCGCACGGTGCGGGCCGAAGTGACACTACCGCGGGCGAAAACTTCCAGGCGATCGAGCACCTCGAAATCGAAGTCGACGTTGACGCCCCATTCCGAGGCGACACCCAGCACCTGCTCGACATCGGCCCGGGACAGGCGGCGAAAGTTGGCCCGTTCCATCAGCCAGGCAAATTTGTCGAAGAGCTGTCCGGCTTGATCGTCGTATTGCATGTCGTTGCGTGGCTGGTTCACTTCACCCGGGTCGGTATCGCGATCGGGGTCGAACGGCGAATACAGGTCTTTCAGTTGTTCCAGCACCGAGTGGTACTCGAAGTGCAGCGTGGCTTCGATCATGCGGCAGAGTTCGCGAAATGCGTCGGCCGACGTGTTGCCTTCGCCCAGGTCGCGCATCAGCATGGCAACCAACTCGGGCTTGCGGAGCGGAATGAACTCTTCGCGTTCGGCGCGGACGACCCGGCCCGCCTGCACGATCTTGTGCGGGCGAACTCGGTGGGCGGACTTCTTTTTGCTGTCGCTGCTTGCTGTCATGTTTAGGCGTTCTCCGGCTGCGACGCTCTCGAATGATGCAACGATACAGAATCTGTATCGGCCTGTAAAAAAGGCGACGTCGATTTATTTCGCACCGACACCTTGGGGAGCGGCTGCAACTGGATGTAATTCGCCTGAAACAGCGAATTATTGCAGCGACAGCAGTGCTTTACGACCGAATGTGTCGCGGTTCAATCTGGTGAAATTGCGAAGGTCGGGGTAGAGAATTACTTGTCATCGCCTTCCTTGAGCCAATCGACGCTTATATCGGCGAACGTGATCCGGCCGTAGTCGTCGCGCTCGTAGAGACAGCCGATACGGTCTTCGGATAAGGCGGCCAGCGAGGAGTAGGCCGCCGAGCCCTTGTAGAGGGTTCGGGAAACGGGCCACTCATCGGAACCTGGGGGACTCATGCGGACGGTCATGCGGTGCCGCTTGTTCTTGGAAGCGGGGTTGGAGAAGAACAGTGGGTACGACGAAGACTCGCTGTTGGCCACGCCCGTGATGAGGCTCGCTTGGCAGACGGGCTCGATCAGCGTGCTGTCGAACTCGAGGTCCGACCAGGTTTCTCCGCCGTCGTCGCTGTAGGCCACGGCGCGCTTGCTCCCCTTTTCCTTTTCCCCGCCGGTTTTGGCCCAATAGTTTCGCATGTTGATCATGAGTTTGCCGTCGGGGAGTTCGACCACCTGACACTCATCGGTATGGGGCGAGACGCTTTCGCCGAGCTGCCACGACTTGCCGGCATCGTCGCTGTAGAAGCAGTGCGACATCTTCACGCGTTGGCCCTTGTACTTTTCGCCGTGATCGCAGGGAATCACTAACCGGCCGGCATGCGGACCTCGTTTGAGTTGGATTCCGACGCCGGGACCAGTGGCATACCAGCCCCAATTGGGCAGTTTTACTTGCTTGGTGATATCGACCGGTTCCGACCAGGTGCGGCCATCGTCGGTGCTGTGCATCATCAGCACGTCGTCGTTGTCGCGGCAAAGCGGAAGCCAGATGGTGCCGGTGCTCTCGTCTTGCACGGGACAAGGATTGCCGATTGTGATTTTTGCGTCCCCACCCTCTTCGTAGATGAGCGTGAGGTCGCCCCAGGTCTTGCCACCGTCGTCGCTGCGTTTCATCACCAGGTCCAAGTCGCCGTGGTCGCCGCGGCCGGTCTTGCGACCTTCGCAGAAGGCCAGCAGCGTTCCGGCTTGAGTTCGCAGCAGGGCTGGAATGCGGAAGGTGTGGTAGCCCTCTTGTCCGCTGACAAAGACGTCGACCTGGTTGGGCTCTTCGGCGGCTAGGGCGAGCGAGGAGGAAAGGACCAATAGCGAGGCGGCGAAAAGGCAGAAGCGTGCAAATCTCATGGAGGACCCCAGCGCGTGAAGTTGGTAACCGTTAGGCGGCCCAGTATGCGCCAGGCTGAATGGCGGGGCAAGAAAACGAGTCCCTCACTATTTACGGACTTTGCTTTTAGCCGCGAGATGAACTGCGGAGCATGAAAAAAGTGCCGGCTAGCAGAATTGCAATTCCGCCGGCAAGTATAATGCCTGTCATGTACTTGAGCTGAAAGCCGCCTGAGACACTGGGAGGCTCTCTGGAAACTAGATTCGTCTCCGAACTCGACTCGGCTGGTTTCGCGGCCTCACTCTCGCTGGCTGCTTCTTCGTTGGGGAGCGGGACCGGGGCTTCTTGTGAAATGACCTCCGTGTCGACTTCTGTTTCGGAGGCAGCCGCAAGACTATCGGGAGCGACCATAGTTTCTTCGTACTCCAGCGCGGCTTCCTGATAGCCGAGGGAACCGGCGAGACCGGCCATTACGCCGGTGATTGCTCCGATGGCCTCGGGGTCTTCGGGATCGAAGCCGAGGGATTCTTCGACGGACGCCTGCATGTCATCGGTCCACTCTAGCGGGATAACTGGACCGGTGTGCCAAGCGTCGTCGGTGGTGCAGGTGCAGTTGCGGCCGAGCATTTCGAGCAGGCCGTAGATGGCCTCATCAGTGGCGTCGTCCCCGGTGAGCACGGGCCCGCGAAGTTCGCCACGGCCGGTGAGCATGGCGATTTGGGGTTCGTCGGAAGCGGTTTCTTCACCTAACAGGCCAAGGCTCCACAGCAGGACTTGTTCTTCAGGGTCTTGGCGATTGAGCACAACGACCAGCGGGGGCTGCTCAACGGTTTTGTCCATTTCGGTGGTGGTACCGACGATGCGGTCGCCGGCCTGTCGGGCGCGGTCGGCGAGCTGTTCTGCAGCGTCTGCATCTTTGTCGTGAACAACCAACAGCACGGCCCACGCTTCAAGCAGATCGTTGTGCAACTTCGTGCGGAGCGGCGAAGCGACGGTTGCGGAGACCAACCGCATGACGGAGTCCAGCGAGATGTCTTCCGACTGTAGTGTACCCATGAAACGTGCCCCACCCTGCGGTGAGACCAACACCGCGGTTAGTCCTTCCGGAGAAAGTTGTTCCTCGGGCAATTGGTTGCGAATGCCCCGCACGGTGGCGCTATCGGTGGGGACGACCTCGGCCACGACGTTGGCTTCGCTGAGCCAGGCTACATTCGCGGTGTCGATGGAGTCGAAGAGCGACTCATCGGTGGAGTCTGTGATTAGTAGCAGTTGGAAGCTGGGAAGGTTTTCGCTGCCGATGAACGCCGAATCGCGGATGGAATACGGACAGGCCGCCGCGGGGGAAGCGACGAGGAATGCAAGGCTAGCGACGCTCACGATGGACAAGAGCGTGAGCGACCGAGTGCTGTGGAGCGGTGAGTTCACGACTGGCCTTCGTGAGTGATGGGCGGAAGAACGGGATGCGAGCGTGTCACAAGACACTCTTCGAGTATACGAAGCCGCTCAATAGGCCGTCCAGCATGGGGGCGTGGTGCTTAGATTTACCGCCGTAGTCGAATCAGGGCTCGTTACGCATCCCGCAACACAATCGCCGGATCTTGCAGAACGGCACTGAGTGCTGGCAGGTAGCTGGCCAGGGCGCAGACGATTGGGGCGCCGACGAGACTCCAGGTGAGCATGGTATAGGGAATCTGGTAGTGCAGCGGGGCGATGTCCATGGCATCGACGAGGATTACACGGGCAAGCAATGCCCCCAGGCCGAAGCCGATCGCGCCGCCGACGATGCCGAGAATGAGGGCTTTGCCCAGGAACAGCATGGCGATTCGTAGCGAGCCTTTGCCGAGAGCCCTGAGGAGACCGATTTCGATTCGACGCTCGCGGACGTTGGAGAGCGTGAGCAGGCCGACCCAAATGGCGGCGGCCAGAATGACCAGCGGCGTGACCACCCCGGTGAAGGTTTCCATGAGTTGTTGCTGCTCGTTGCGGCTGGCCGACATGGTCTCGAGCGCCTCTTGTTTGCTCTTGGCGACGAGGGCCCTTTGCTCGACGCGGGCGAGGGCTCGGGGGCCGACTTCGTAGATTTGGGTGTCGGGCAAAACTGCCTCGAGTTGTTTACGCACTTCCGGTAACAGCGCGGTCTTGCAGCGGCAGCCGATAGCGAGAATCTGGTTAATTTTGCCGTCGGCGTCGAGCAGTTCCTGGGCGTCGTCTAAGTGAACGGCAAGCGTGATGTCCTGCACGGTCCCACTCTCGGGCAGTACCTTCGTGACCGTGAACTGTTTGCCGAGAATTTCAATTGGGTCGCCCTCGTTGAGGTCCAGTCCCAAGTTGTAGCCAACGTAAGCCGTGCCGGGGGCGATATCGAAGCCCATGGGTTTCTTCTTCGACTCGTGGGCCCTGGGAGTCTCGGGCAGGTAACCCATCAGCAGGACTTTGCGATCGTTCCAGGTGACTTTGCGTTGGAGCGTGGCGACCAGATGGGTGACCAACGAGAGTTGCTCGGCGTTGGCCAGCCGATCGACGTACTCTTGCGGCATGTCGCGTTCGCTATAGCCTTCAGCCCAAAAGTTGTCCATGTTCGTGTCGCGATGGAGGATCTTCAGGTTGAAGCCCATCTTGAGCATGATCTTGCGGGTTTCATCTTCGACCTGGGCGAGGGCATCGGAGGTTTCTGTTTGAAGGGCCTCGTACTTTTCGAGGCTCTCGGAATGATAGCCATGTACGACGGAGGCCCCGGCCACAAACAGGCTCACGGCCACCGTTACTCCAATGAGCATGAGGAAGAAGTTGAGCTTGCGGTAACGGATCTCGTCGAACAGCAGTTTGAAGATATTCATTTGTGCGAGCTAGTTCAGGAATTGATTGGGGTGCGGGGTTGAACCGGGGTATCGAGGGGTGCTCAGGCTTCTTACTCGGGCATTCTTGATGATAAGAATCGGCTCGACGAGCGGCAACCGGTGGACGAATCGCCCGGGGGGAATGAGCGTGTACCAAAGTAACAAGCGAGATGTTCCCGAGAATAGGGAACATCTCGCTTGTCGGGGGGGAATCGTGGGGGGAGTGATTCTGAGGGCGACGTTGTTCTCGGGTGGTCTGAATAGCAGATGGTTCAGACCATCACCGCTGGGCAAGCCAGCGGTGGCACCCAGGTTCGTGTCGCGAGGATCGTTAGCGGAATAACTCGAAGCTGAACATGGCGGCTCCGGTGGAGAAGCCGTTGCTCTCGTAGTTGCCGAAGTCGATCCAGTCGTGTGAGTATTCGAACTCGGCTCCCAGGGCCATGCCCAGGCGGCCGAATGCGGCGGTGCAAATGTCTCGGTTCATGAAGTTAACGCCGGCCCCGCAGAAGAGGCCGCCGAAGGTGTCGGTCTTCGAGTAATTCTCGAGCAGCGAGGCCGTTTGATCGGGGGCGAGTCCTGTGATCAGGGCTTCGGTTGTGGCCGAAGGGGCTTCGTGGAATTCACCGTGAACATGCCCTAGGCGTCCGCCGAGGCGGAACATGAAGCCTACTCCCCCGCCGGGTCCGCTGGGGGTGCGTTGCCAGCCGATGGCGGTGTCGACGCTGCCACGGTCAATCTGAATGAGTTGGGCGTCGAGCAAGTCGGGTAAAGGCGTGGAGGACACGGGGCCGAGTGGTCCAATCACATTGAACACACCAGGGGTGGGTCGTGGGTCGGCATCGCCAGAGACGCCAAGGTAAGAGCCGCCGAGGTCGATGAACAGGAAACCTCCGGGTCCACGAGCGGCGAAGGGCTGCCGCACGCCGCCGGCGATCGTCCAGCCGACGTTGGTGCTTTCGAAGAAGTTGTTGTCGAGGCCGAAAGCGGGACCGGCCTTCATGTAAGCCATTCCCACTTGAGCGTGAGCCTGAGTGCTGCAGGCTAGTCCGCAAGCAAGCAGCACGGCCACCATGGCAATCTGCTTCGCGCTGGGACGCTGACCGGCAAAGTTTACCCAGTCCGTCATCTTCTTCCCCCTCCCCTCGAAGTTGTTCGTCCGTCCGCACAATCGTCACGAGCGTGCGTACTGTCATCTTCGGTACAACAAGTCGGCCCTCGTTGACGATTGTTCGGGCCATCGGGGTTGTTCCGGTACTACTGAGTTGCGGTCGTAACGGTTAGGTAAACTACTCCTCCCCGAGGGGTGTATGGGGTGGTGATTGCTGGCTGCCGGGGCTGAGATTTGGGGTCGCTTGAGGGCTGAAGTTCTCCCAGCTGCGAGAATACAGCCTTGTTCGGATAGCGGATGCGCAAGTGCTATCAGAGGGCCGAATTGGGGTTAGCCGACGTCGATAGGCCAGGTCGTGCTCGCGATTTGCTCGCAATCTGGTGGGCGGTGCCCTATTCTCGTTCCAACGGTCAGCGAGTGCTGGCCGCGATGAACGACCAAAAAGCTCCTATGCGATGAGGATACCGATGCGAATTCAGTTGGCGATGTTAGCCCGGCAGTTATTTCTGGCCAGTTGCTTGTTGGTGATGTTGGCCACTGCGGGCCATGCCGCGGAGCCGGCGGTTGCGACAGCGCCGGCCGACTCGGCGGTCAGCCAGCAAGGGCTTGAGGAGTTGAAGGCACTGCTGGAGGAGACGAACACGCTGGCGGCGCTGGTTCTGCACAATGGCGAGGTGGTGGCCGAGTGGTACTGGGAAGAGGCCAAACCCGACACCACATTCGAGGTGTGGTCGGTCTCGAAATCGTATGCGTCGACCTGCATCGGGCTGCTCATCGATCAGGGGAAGATCGACAGCCTGGACGATAAGGTCGGCAAGTATGTTCCGTCGTGGAATGAAGGTGAGAAGGCCGACGTCACACTGCGTCACTTGTTGGAACAAACCTCCGGGTTGGAGGAGTCGGGCAAGTTCTTTCTCGCTAAAGATCAGTTAAGCACGGCACTCGAGGCGAAGCTGCTTACCGTGCCGGGCGAGAAGTGCCGCTACAATAACGCTGGCTGCAATGTGCTGTCGGCGGTGATCACTGCTGCGTCGGGCAAAGACCCTGAGGAGTTCATGCGGGAAGCGTTGTGGGAACCGCTGGGAATGAACAGCACCTCGTGGCGTCGCGACAAGGCCGGCAACGTGATCACCTACGCCGGCATTCAAAGCACCACATCTGATCTGGCTAAGCTGGGGCAGTTGTTCTTACAGGGCGGCGAGTGGAACGGTGAACAACTGCTCAGCGAAGAATGGGTTGAGCAAGCAACTTCGGATCGTGTGAAGATGGTGGCCGTCGAGGGGTTGGAACAGCCTTATGGATTGCTGTGGTGGGTTGATTTCGCCCAGGACGAGAAGGTGCCGCACAACTACAACGCCCTGGGACTTTTCGGGAACAACTTAACGGTGATCCCTGAGTTGGACTTGATTGGTGTGCGGCTGGTGGGTAGCTATGCCAAAGGTGGCTCGCTGATGCGGCGGACACCGGAGTGGGTGAGCAAGCTGGCGGGCGTGGTGAAGCAGGATGAGGACGCCGACGAGTAATAGGCCCGCGGGGAATTTGCTCGCCTTATTGGTTGCAACTTACTGCGAAGCCCTGAGGAACTCGCGGCGGGTTGCGCGGACGCGGTTTTGCACCACCGCTGGCAGCTTGGCTCCGAGCAGGTTCGCGCCGTCGAACCAGGCTTGCGGTTCGGAAAGCACCATGTGGGCCTCGACGAATAGCGCGCCTTCGGGTTCTTCCATACGGGTGATTTTGAGGTAGAAGCCGGTGCCTTCATACGGATGGGCGGGCCCCAGTTCTAATTGGCCCGTGGGGGCGCGGTCCATGGCCCGCCAGACATTGGGAAACTCTTTGTCGTCGTTGAAGCGAGGGTCAAGCTGGCCGGCGATCACGATCGAATCGGGGGTGCGGCTCCAGTAGGAGTGGAGTGTGCCTTGGACCTCGACCTTTTTGATGAGGCGATAGCTTCCGTTGGCGTAGCCCTCGTGTTCGGCATCGGCCTCATTAAAGTCGATCCCGCGGGCGGCGAGTTCTTCGGGCGTGAGGGTGTGCCCCTCTTCACCGACTTCGTCTTCGCCACTGCTCGATTCCATCAGCTCTTCCAGGAACTGCTTGTCTGAGATGTCATCGAGATTGCCGTAAGCGACAAACCAGGTATCGACCCGTTCTGCGGGGCCGGTGGGGTGCTGGAGTTGCTCTAGATGCAGGATGTGGCGGGAGACGACCGACTTACGCAGCAGTTGATCGGGTGAGTAGCTGGAACCTGCCAGGTCGGCGATGATCTTTTGTTGCTCGGCCGCATCAAGTCCGTCGGCCATGGTGGGGAGCGGGATGGAGTACGTAACCTCGGGCGAGACCGTAACCCCCTGCTCCAGCAACTGGGCATAGACGGGGTTTGCTTCTTGATGCGTGGGGGCGACCCCGAGAAGCACGGCGACGAGCAGCGGTAAAGTCATGAGGGCCTTCTTTTGTTGCGCGAGTGAGAATCGCGTCGTGATTTAGGTTTCGACGGAAACCGGGTCGCGATGCACGCGGCGGTCTTCGACCAGGTGGCCGTCGCTGATGCGGATGACCCGCTCGGCCCGTTCGGCAACTTCGTTACTGTGAGTGACCACGACGAGAGTCAGGCCCCGCTCTTGATGCAGGCGATCGAACAGGTTCAAGATGGCTTCGCCGGTATTCGAGTCGAGGTTGCCGGTGGGTTCGTCTGCCAGCACAAGTACGGGGTCGTTGGCCAAAGCACGGGCGATGGCGACACGTTGGCGTTCGCCGACGGATAGATGGTTGGGCCGGTGGTTGGCCCGATGTTGCATGTTCACCAGGTCGAGCAACTCGACGGCTTTCTTCTGCCGCTCGCTGGCGGGCAAGGTGCCTTCGAACATGGGGACTTGCACGTTCTGCACGGCCGATAACGTGGGCAGCAGCAGGAACGACTGAAAGATGAACCCGATTTGCTCTGCGCGGAGCCGGTCGGTTTCCTTCATCTTGCTGAGTGGTTTGCCTTGAAAGAAGACCTCGCCGGAGGTTGGCCGATCGAGGGTGCCCATAATGTTGAGCAACGTCGACTTGCCGCTTCCGCTGGGCCCCATGATGGCGACGTACTCACCTTGGTTGATCGTCAGGCTGACGTCATTCAACGCGGTGACGTTTCCATCGGGGTATTGCCGGCCGACCGATTCGATTTGGTAGACCGGGGTTTGCTTGTCTGCTGCATCACTCATGAGTTAGACCTTCCGATGGCTGTAGTCGTGAGGCTTGGTAAGCCGGGTAAGCCCCGCCGATCAGTGCGACCCCCAATGCCAGGGCCAGACCGATTTGCAGGACGTCCCAGGCGATGTTGCCTCGCACAAATCCACTGACTGCAGGCAAGGTGGCAAGCCATTTGGTGAACACGATCGCCACCACGCTTCCGAGGATGGCGCCCACTAGGCTGATGAAGAAGCATTCGCTCATGATCATCCGCACGATGCGACCCCGTCGCCAACCAATTGCCCGCAGGATACTGATTTCTTTGATGCGCTCAATGACGGACATGAGCATGGTGTTTAACATGCCAAAGCTTCCAATCGCCACCGCGATGAGCGAAGTGAGCCACGCCATGGCGTGGGCGGTTTTCAGGTAAACCGAATTGCTGATGTATTCCTCGGTGGGGGTGGCCATCACGCCGTAGGAGCGACCTTCGTCGTCGCGGAGGTCGTTAATCTGCTGGCAGATTTGTTCAGAAGTGATGGTGTCGCCCATGGCGGCGTGATCGAGTCGCACTGAGAAGCCGGTTGCACTGTCTTCGCGGAACATGGCGTGCTGCAGTTGCTTCAACGGGACGGTCATCGCGCCGTTTTCGAAGACGTTGTAGCTTTGATAGACACCGACTACTACGAACTCTTCGCGTTGGATCACGACGGTGTCGCCCACGCCTTTGTCGATGTTTTGGGCCAGCGTTTTACCTAGCAGCACGACTTTCTTGTCGTCGGAGGTATAGTGATCGCCTTCGAGAAACTCCATTTCGTCGAAGAGGAACGTGTCGGGTTCCCAGCCTTGGACCAGGATGCTGATTACATTACTGTCCGCGGGATCTTCACCGATTTTCTTGTAGTCGATGATTTCCAACAGCCCGGGCGAAACGCCGTCGACGCCGGGGATTTTGCGAATGCGATCGGCGAGTGTTGCGTCGAGATCGCTGCTGAGTTGGTCCAGAACGCCCTCTTGAACGACGAGTATTTCCACGCCGCCATTGCTGAGCGAGTCGTGCGCCGACTGTTCGAAGTCGTGCGAGACACCCAACAGCACCACGGCGGTGCCAATGGCCACAGCAATGCCACCGGCGGTGAGCAGCGTGCGTGCCAGGCGGTAGCGGAGGTTAATGAGTATGAATGTGATGAACCACATGGGCGCGACTCTTAAGCGTCGGTTGAGATTTGTTTGGTCATGGGGGCTTCCACCTGCGTTGTGTTCTCACCACCGGTGGAGAAGCGTCGCAGGTGATAGTGTACCCGTTCGACAAAGCCTTCGGGGTTTTCTAACAGCGCCAGGTGCCGTGCCTCGGGGACGATATCGCCTTCGGCATTGGGCAGATGGTTGGTCAGGAACTCGAATGTAGCTTGGAAAGGGCTGTATTGGTCGTACAGGGCGACCACCGGTTGTTGCACTTGTTGTAAAGCCGCAGCGTCGAGGCCGGCCACTTCGAAGGATTCTTTGGCGGCCGAAGTCTTGGCCAACTGGGGCATTTGGCTAAACCAGCGAGTCGATTCGGTACCCATTTCAGCTTCGATCGTCTTCAATTGTTCCTTCGTCAGTCGGGCCACAATATCGAACAGCCGTTGGAAATCGACCGTATCGCCGAGTTCTTCGCCTGCTTTGCGGAAGGCCGCGACCAGCGGGTGCCAGACTTCGGCTTGTTCCATGTTCGGTTCTAGGTCGGCCAGGCCCGGGAAATAGGAATCGGAGAGGATCACTCCGGCGACCTTCTCGGGATAGAGCAACGCGGCATGCATGCCGACTACTCCGCCGAAGCTGTGTCCCACAAGGTAGGCCGGCCCCAGATCGAGGGCGTCGTGCAGTTGGGCGAAATCTTCGGCCATGGCAGCTGAAGTGTAGCCGGTGGGGGGCGCGTCGCTCATCCCGTGACCACGAAGATCGTAGCTGGTGACGCGGAACTCGTTGCTAAGCGCCGGAATGAGCGGCGAGAACATCCACATGGCCAGGTTACTGGTGAACCCATGCAATAGGACCACATCGGGGCCGTTGCCCGTCTGCTGGTAGTGGAACTTCAAATTGCCCAACGTTGCGCGGGGCATGGTTTAACCTTCCTTGACCGCTTGAAGATACTGATGCAAGTAGCCGGCGATTTCCCCCAGCGTCAGGTCTTCGGCCCCCTGCTGTCGCAGTTCGGCGAGGAACTCGTGGAAGGGAAACGAGAGGTTGTATTTCTCTTGCAGCGTTTCGCCCAGGACCACGGCGTCGATGGATGCGAGCCCTAAATCGCCAAAGAAGCTGGTGTCGGCCGTGATTTCGCCTGAGTATTCGCGCCCTTGGAAATTGCGAAGGATCTCTTCGAGGTCTTGGAGGACGTCGGCTTGTGTTGTCATGGTTAGTTCGCCTCGCATTGGCCGGTGGTGGTGGCGATGATCATGTTCTGGCAACGGAACGTGCGAACGACGATACGTTTACCGAGATTCTCGGGGTAGGCCGTGCAAAGTTGCGTGTCGAGCGCAACATACACGTTACCGTCGTCGTCCCAGCGAAGCACGTCGACCTGGCGAGGGTCGCGGACGATCTGGTTGCCGAGGGCTTCGACGATTGCGTTGCGAGCGGCAGTCAGCCGTGCGGCCAAGTCGCCATCGGGATCGGAGGCACCTTCGACCGCAGCCAGAATAGTTTCGTCGAGAGGCTCTTCATCATCGTCAAGGCTTGCGATTGCCACGCCGACTGGCGAACCAACCGATGCGGCGGCGACCATGAAGCTGTTGGTGGCGGCGAACGAAACCCTGGGGAAGTCGGCCGTGCGTTCCATACCTGCAGGAGTGGCACGTAGCCGACCGAGATCGTCGCGGTCGATTTCGATGTCGGCCGGGAACAGGCGATCGCCGTGACGCAGCCACCACAAGATACGTGAGGCATCTTTGGCAGCGACGCGACCGAAGAGCCATCGCGAGCGTTCGACGTCGGAGGCCTTCATTTCGCGATGCACCTGGCGTTCGCGTCGGCTGAGCGTGACTTGGGCAGCCGCGGTTTGCAGGGCGGCTTGCATCAAGTCGGGCGTGGGCGTGAAGCGTACGCACCAAGTGTCGGTGTCTTTTGGGGCGTTCATCCCGCCGAATGCGGTTGGCTCTTCGTCGGTGGGAATCGGCTCGGTGCTGCCCGGCATGGCCTGGGGCCAGTCTTTGGTAAGGAAGTACTCGTCCTTCGGGCCGTGAAAGTTCACCTCGCCGAAGGGGAGATAGAACCGCCAGCTCTTCACGCCATTCAGCCGGCACCACACCTGACCGTTGGAATCGATGATTTCGCCGTCTTGATGAAATTGACGCGAGGAGGCGTGAGCCACGCGGGAGCGATTCGTGTATTCGGCACCTACTTCAGGGCAGGGGCCGAAGAACTCGATGCGTTTCATTTCGTACGGCAGCAGGATTCGCCCCGACTGGTCGGGCTGCTCGAGATGCCAGCCGACGGTTGGGTGCATCGAGACATCGATGAACACAGGATCGAAGATGAATTTCGGATCGTCGTTCGAGCGAAGCAGCCCCTTGCGCGGCAGAACACGGATGGTGGCATTGATGCCGGCATCGCCGCAGGCGTCGAGACTGGTAACGCCTTGGAACAATGGCCCGTGGAACAGGCTTTGATAAACCTGGTCGAGCGTGGGACGTACCGGGTGTTCGTTTTCCAGCGGCGCTGTTTTAATTTTAGGCGCGGCCGGGTAATGCGGTGACATGACCACAGTGCCGGCCGAGGCGGCGAAGCCGTTTTCGTCGGGGCTGTAGGCACTACCAAGATCGCGGACTTCGACCCTGATGAGCTTCGAGCCAGGGACCTCGCTGGCCGAAGCGGGTTCATCGAGCACGGTGGCCGAGACTTGAATCAGCCCCACGTCGGCGTCGAAAGCGAGCCAGCGTTGAAGTTGCACATCGCAGATGGCCGCCGGCACAAATCCGGGCACCAGCAGCGATCCAACTTCGGCCATCATCTCTAAATTGAACGTCATCGGCATCACGGGCAGACCGTGATGGGTGGGATCGACCTTCGAGACGTCGCGGCCGCCAACGGTGTGTTCGCCGGCGTAGATATCTTCTTGCAGGTCCAAACGGCGCCGCATGACCAGCGACTTGCTGGGGGTGTGGCTGACGATTTCGCCAATCAACGGGCCCGGGCCTGATGTTTGGGGCGCGACCGTGGAGGGTTGGGCGACCGGGTTCGAGCGGCTTGGGGCCGGCTTGGCGACGCGTCCGGCGGCTCCCCTGCCCCGTCTGACAGGTCGGCGGCGACCGGTGTGGCGTTGCTGTAAGTAGGCCTTGGTGACGGCCTCCTGATCGGCAAGAAACTGATCCATGACCGAAAGATAGCGGTTCATTACCGAGCCGGTCGCGCTGCCGCCTGAGACTGGGTTGGTCGGCGGTGCAGAATGATGGTTCTGCGTTTCGGCCGTGCTCGGGACAGGATGAGTTGGTGGTGTCGCCGGGCGTTGTGGTTTGGGGGCGGCTGCTACGGAAGCTGCGGGCTTTGGAGTGGCGGGGGGCGTAGGCTTCGGGTCTTCCACAACTCCGGCTGGCCATGTGAAGCGTTTGTGATCGCGTCGCTCGTACAAGTAATCAAGCTGCATGGGCACGTGGTGCGCTGCGAGTTGGGCCACCATGTGATTGAGTTGGACGATGCCTGAGCGGCGTTGCACGTTCGAAGCCACGGCCATGAATTCTTCACCGCGGAGAATATCGGTCGTGAACGACGACAGGTTCCCGCGTGGGCCGGCTTCGACGAAGATTCGCACCCCGTCGGCGTGCATCTGCCGCACCATATCGGTGAACCGCACTGGTGAGGCCCAATGGCTGAGGGCCAGGTCGCGGATTTCGTCGGGGTTGTTGGGGAACAGGCTGGCGGTGGTGCAGGAATAAACCGGTACCGAGGGGCTGTAGAAGGGTACTTCCGCAAAACGCGCGGCCAGCTCCTCTAAGTAGGGCTCGAACAGGTAGGTGTGGTAGGGGCGATCGAACGGCAGCTTCTCATGCATCACCTTGGCGGCGGTGAGTTCCTCGACCACGGAAGTCATGGCCTCGGGCGTGGCGACCAACACCGTTTGATGCGGGCAGTTGTCCATGGCCAGGTGCAGCTCGGCACCATTGGCGATTTTGGCCATCGCCCTTTCCATCGCGGCCCCGACCACTTCGCGTGAGGCCCCGATTGCCAGCAGCTCGTACTTGCGATCGGCCGCCACGTCGGGGTTCCGCAAGGCTTGCATCATGCCCACGACGTTTACGGCTTGATTCTCGACTTCGATCGAGTTGGCCGACCCCAGCGCGGCTAGCTCGCCCGCGCTGTGGCCCGCGATGACATCAGGCTGGATGCCGAGATTCTCCAAGACCCGGCTTATTGCCCAGTCGGCGAACAACACGCTGACCATCGTCGAATCGAGACGCCCCAGCTCAGCCTGCGCGGCGGCAACTTCTTCTGGATCAGCGTCCTTGGCGAAGTGGACGAACTCGCTGATCGGCATCGCGTCAGGGTCGTGATTGGCGAACGACTGATCGGCGAAGACGAAGGCGGCTTCCACTTCCGGGAAATGCGGGCAGAGGTCGCCCAGCATCGAGAGATACTGTGCACCTTCGCCGGGATAGAGAAACGCCACCGAGCCGGATTGATACAGCGGTTTGCTGAAGTAGTAGATGCCCGCCGCATCGTTGATGAAGGGGCATTCCTCGGCAGACAAACGTGTGAGCGCCCGTTCGATGCGGGTGGAAAGCTCGTCGACCGTTGCGGCCACCAACGCGATTCGACAGGTTTGTTCATGAAGTTGGGTGTTGAGCGTGGCGGCGATGTCGACCAAACGGACCGGAGGTTCGCCTGTGATGATGGCTTGCAACTCTGTGAGCCGCTCGACCAGGGCTTGGCGATTTTCGGCCCCGACGATGACGGTTTCAGCTTCCCAAGAGGGGAGCGACTTCTGCGAGGACTTCGCTGCGGAAGCTCTCGTGCGATCGTTCGGGTGAGTTGACATTTCGGTGTACATCGCTGCCTTGTCTCTTCAAGTTCCACGGACGGATGCCGAGGCTAAGGGCCCTTCGCTGCAAGACGGTTCAACTTGTGAATCCGACTATGAAAAACGAGGGCCAAGGGGGAGCTGCTCGCTGTGGCGATACATTCCCCCGTTCGCAATTGTGGTCAGCTGGTGCTGGCCAGGGTGGTTGGCTGGGGTTTGGCTAGCCGCTCTGCACCGCCGGCGATGATCACCTCGAAGTCGTTGTCGCCGCCGTAGAGTAGTTCTTCGATGACGAACATAGGACCGGTCTCGGGTGAGATTAACTTCAGCCCACGGGCGGTGAGGTGACGTTCGAGGTCGGCGACCATGCCGGTTCCCGACCAGGGGCCCCAATCGATGGCCACCACACGAGCGGCCCAACGTCGATTGAGATCGGCGGCCAGTTTGCCGAGCACTTCGTTCGCAGCGGCGTAGTCGGACTGGCCCTTATTGCCAAAGCGGCTCGCCACCGAAGCGAAGAACACGCAGAACTTCAACGTCTTGGGGTCGAGATGCCTGCTGAGGATCAGCGAGCTTTCGATCTTGGTGTCGAACACACGATCGAACGACTCGGAAGTTTTGTCTCTCACGAGTTTGTCTTCGATGACGCCGGCACCGTGGATCACGCCGTCGATCCCGCCGAACTCTTTAGCGACATCGTCGATGAGTTTGCCGAAGGCCTTTTCGTCTCGCACGTCGACCGAGTGATATTGCAGACGGGCTCCGGTGGCCTTGATGCTTTCCAAGTTGCCGCGAACCTCTCGGGCTCGCATGATTCGCTGATATTCAGCTTCGATATCGGCAGGGCTGACATCGAGGTCGGCATCCTGGCGTTTCTTGATCAGGGCACCCTTGATCTCGGAGGCTTTGGTCAATCCGGCCGTCTCGCTCGACTCTTCGTCGGCGGGAGCTTCGGTGCGGCCCACCATGATGATATTGGGCTGATAGCGACGGGCGATTTCCAGGGCCACTGTGGCTGTGATGCCGCGAGCGCCGCCGGTGATTAACACGGTCGAGTCTTCGTCCAACTCGAAGGCGGGGGTTGTATCGGCGTCGACGGGGGCACCGTAGGGCTCCCAAGTTATGCGGCTTCCTTCGAGGTAGCCGACTTCGTTGGGGCCATCTTGTTCGCCCATCTCACTGATCAACTGGTCGACGATCTCGCCCACGGGTCGTTGGCGATCGAAGTCGATTGTGCGGACCAACACTTCGTCCCATTCCATCGAGAGGCACTTGGTGAAACCAAGAATACCGCCCTGCCCTGGGTTGAAGTCCGCGGGGGCTTGGTCATCGAACGCCAGTCCGCCACCGAGGGCCGTGGTGCTGAGGCAGAAAGCCCCGCCTTGTTTGCCGGCAGTTGTCAGGTCTTCTTCCAGACTTCGCGAGAGCTGATAGAACGACTTCAAGTCGCGCCGAGCACGAGCCGACCAGGCTTCGCCGTCGACCGCTGGGGCCAGCGGCATCAGGTGTAGCAGACCACTAATGGGTGCGATCTCGGTGCGAATCTCTTCCAGTACTCTGGCGACCGCTTTCTCGTCGGTAAGGTCGGCGTAGAAGATGCCGTCCTCTGCTTTTTTGGCTTTCGTGGAGAAACGCAGCAGGGCGGTTTGCTGACCGAAGTCGGCCAGGCGGTCGGCCATTTCGTTGGCGACCCCGCGACCATCGTCGGTGAGCAATATGCAGCCGCTGAGGAGGGCCGGCATTCCACGGCCTTGCAGCGGGGCTTCAACCAGGCGAATCAAGGCACGTTGAACGTCTAGTTGGCCTTCGACGTGGGATTCGGCTTTGCCGTTGGTCTTTTCGATGGGAGTGCTGGCGGCCGGCGTGGGTGCCGGATCTTCGTTATCGCCGAAGAGCACGTCTTCCATGTAGTCGAGAATGCCGCGGAGCGTGCGAATGCTGGTGAGCTTCTCGATCTCCAGCTTCGACTCCAAGTCTTCTTCCGTCCCGCCGAGCGATTCGGCCAGGGTGCCAAGGATTTCGACTCGCTTGATGGAATCGATTCCCAGGTCGGCCTCGAGGTCGAGATCCAGATCGAGCATGTCCTTCGGGTAACCGGTTCGTTTGCTGACCAGTTCCATCAGGTCTGCCGAAATCTGCTCGAGAGACATCTCGGGGAAATCGCTCTCTTCGACAGTAGCTTCGACTTCCTCTTCAACGGGCTCTTCCACACTTGGCTGTTCGGCAGCGACCTCTGGATGGGCGGTGACACCGTTGGTCGAGGGTGCGCTCATCGGCCGCGGTGCCGGAGCTGGCGACTCGTAGGCGTGTACTCCGTTGGTAGTTTGCGGCATGTGGTCGATGAAGTCGGCCGCTTCTCCGTCGGTGCCCTGGAGGTAGCTGAGCATGATGCTCTTTTGCGTGTCGAGGAAGCGGGCCATCAAGTTCTGGAAACCCATCACCACTTGCGCCGCTTCGTCTCCTTCGGCGTGATGCTCGAATGGTGCCATCGGCTTGGCCGTTCCGTTGGTTCCCACCGGAGGGCCGACCTGCTGTGTGCGTTGCGGCGCGGCGGGGGCGGGTGTGGTTGGCGACGGTGACGGCGAGGTGTTCGACGTCGAGCCCGAGGTTGCGGCAGGCGGGACGTTTTGGTTTTCCATCTTGCGTTGTCCTAAGATCCAAGGTTCCGGTTCGGTGGCTAGACGTGCTCGAACGCCATTGACCAACCATGTGTTGGGTGGGAGTTCTACTTTTCCGGTTTCACGATCGATATCGCTGAGCGCGAACGAGGTGTTGCAGCGTCCTTGATAGAGCCGATCGAGATTGGGTGCCGCACCCACGACGAGCAGATGGGCCAAGACTTGTTGCAGTTGCACGAGACCGTCGCGACCCTTCAGGTCGGTCGGCACCGCGGTGTGGGGTCGATCGCCGAGGATTTGCTTCACCAGACCGGTTAGCACGCCTTGGGGACCGACTTCGATGAAGGCTCGTACGCCCTCGTCGTACATCGCTTCGACTTGCTCTTGGAAGCGTACGGGCGAGGTGAGATGTTTCGCCATTTGTTCGACGATTTCCGCCGGGTTGTCGGAATGCGGTTCGGCGGTGGTGTTGGCGTAGACCGTCGCTTGGGGAGCATTAAAGGTTGCAGAGCGAAGCTCTTTGGCCAGGGCATCGGCGGCCGGGGCGACGTGTGGTGAGTGGAAGGCACACGAGACCGGAATGCGACGGGTCTTGAGGCCTGCCTTCTCCAATGTGGCGACGGCGGCCTCGATGGCTTTGACTTCGCCGGCGATGACCGTTTGGCGTGGTGAATTCAAGTTGGCAATGGTGACCTTCGACTTGCTGCCGAGAGCCGCGGAGACTTTCTTGGCGTCGGCCTCGACGGCGGCCATGGTGCCAGTCGATTCTTGAGTGGCCTCGCGAATGAAGTGCCCGCGTTGGTACGACAGGCGAATCAGGTCGTCGTCGGAGATGGTGCCGGCGGCACACAGGGCGACGTATTCACCATAGCTATGCCCGGCGAAGCAATCGGCCTTCACCCCCAGCGATTGCAGCAATCGGTACTGGGCGAGATCGACCGCACCGAGAGACGGCTGAGCCACATCGGTGCGGGCCAGGGCGGCTTCCAGTGTCTTCGCATGCTCGTCGCTGAACGACGAGGCGGGGGAGATGAACTGCCCCAACGGCCGTTCGAGTTTTTCTTTCAGCACTTCGGTGGCGTGATCGAGGCCATGACGCACTTCGGGGAAGGCCATCGCCACTTGCGAGAGCATGTTGGTGTATTGAGAGCCTTGCCCCGGGAAGAGCATGGCAATCTTCGCGGCCCCTTCAGTGGGCGATTCGGCGAAGTACAGCCCACGAGGATCTTGCCAGGTGGCTTCCTCGCCCCGCACGGCCTTCATCACTGCGGGCAGTTTGTCTTTGAGATCGTCTAACGAGTTGACGACCATGGCCACGGTGGGCTGCGAGGCATCGCTACCACTGGCTCTCCAGGCGGCGGCAGCTAAATCACGGAGCTTCGGTTTAGCACCACGGCTGAGCGACTGGTGGCACTTGCGTAACGCTTCGCCAAGTGCCTCGCGGGACTTGCGACGGAACACGACCAGTTCGGCCGGCCAGTCGTCGCGGAAGGATGCGTCGTCGCCGAGGTAGTCGCCACAGTACTCTTCGAGCACCACGTGGAAGTTCGTACCACCAAAACCAAAGGCGCTTACGCCTGCGCGACGTGGTTCGCCATCGCGATGAACCCACGGTCGGGCTTCGGTGTTCAAGTAGAGCGGGGTTTTGTCAAAGCCAACCTTGGGGTTGGGCTCGTTGACCAGCATGGGTGGCAGCACTTTGCGATGCACGGCCTGCGTCGTCTTGATGAGGCCTGCGATACCGGCGGCACATTTGCTGTGACCGATCATCGACTTGACCGAACCCAGAGCACAGGATTGCAATTCGGCACCCGACTCGGCCATTACGGCGGCCAGCGATTCGGCTTCGGTGCGATCGCCCACGACGGTTCCTGTACCGTGGGCCTCGATAAGTTCCACCGTGCGAGGTGATACACCGGCTTGGGCATACGCGCGACGCAGTGCGCGAAGTTGCCCTGAGGCGTTGGGCGCGGTGAGGCCTTTCTCTTTGCCATCGCTGGAAGAGCCAACACCCTTGATGATGCCGTAGATCTTGTCGCCATCGCGTTCGGCGTCGGCTAGGCGCTTCAACACGACTACGCCAATGCCTTCGCTGAGCACAATGCCGTCGGCGGCCGCATCGAAGGGGCTGCAACGCCCGCGGGCCGAGAGAGCATGGGTCTTGCTGAAGGCCATGTAGGCAAACGGAGTGGAGACCGTGTCGGCCCCCATCGCCACGGCGAAGTCGGCCGTGCCCGATTCCAATTCGCGAACGCAGGCAGACACCGCAGCCAGCGATGAAGCACAGGCCGCATCGATGGCCATGTTCGTTCCGCCGAAGTTGAAGCGGTTTGCCACGCGACCGACCGCGACGTTGAAGAGGAAACCCGGGAACGAGTCTTCGGTCCATTCGGGCAGCATGTCTTTGCCGCGTTCTATGGCCTCGTTCAGTTGGTCGGGAAGATCGACCATGGTTTTGAACATGGGCAGGCAGGTGCGGAAACCGTACATGGTGGCCATGGGGCTACCACCGCCGCCGATGCCTAAGATGGCTGCCGCCCGTTCGCGATTGAACGGCCGATTGGTGTAGCCGGCCGAATCGAGGGCTCGCCGTACCGATTCGAGCAGAAGCAATTGCAGCGGCTCGATGCAACGCATGCTGGCCGGGGTGATGCCGTACCGTAGCGGGTTGAATGGCAGGTCGCCCAAGAAGCCACCCCACTTGGAGATGATCTTGTCGCGGGCACGCGGGTCCTTGTCGTAGAACTCTTCCCAGTCCCAGTGCGTGGCGGGAATCTCGACCACGGCATCGACGCCATCCAAAATGTTGGTCCAATACGAGGCCACATCGTCGGCCCCGGGGTAGACGCAATCCATGCCGATGATGGCCACATCGCATGGTTTCTGCTCGATCACCTTCGGCTTGTTGACAACGAATGCCTTTTCGAGCAATCGCACCGAACCGGAGGAGACGTCTTCGTGCAACTCGGTCATGGTGGTGCGACCGCTTCGCAGCGTGGAGACCTGGCCGATCATGTACATGCCGCGTTCGAGTTGCTCGGCCTGCGAGATCTCAGTGAGTTTCGAAGGCCCGCCCTTCTGGGAAACCCGATCGAGCCCCTTGGAGGCGATGCGGAGTCGGCCAATGTTCATCCACTCCAGGGAACGGACGATTTCGTCGTGCGATTTGCCTTCGGCCTGCAGGCGGTTCTTCTCGACTTGGAAGGCTTTGAAGTAAGGCGTGCGGATGCAGCGAACCGCGTGACCGGGAGCTGTTTCGAGCAGCACGGTGTCGTCGCAGGTGATGGCCGACTCTTGGAACTGCGGGACGATCGCGCCTTTGTCGACGGCCTCTTGGGTGTACAGGTACGCGGTGCCCATGAGTGCCCCGATGCGGGCACCTCGTTTGGCCAACGGTGCGGCCATAGCGGCAACCATCGCGGCGGAGCTGGCGTCGTGAATCCCACCGGCGAACACCAAGTGCAGGTCTTGTCCGCGGCCGTTGGGGCCGAGGTGCTCGAGCAGCACGTCGCACATGCTTTCCCACAGTAGGAAACTACCGCGGGGACCGACGTGACCACCACACTCGCGACCTTCAAAGATGAATCTGCGGGCTCCGTCGCGGAGGAACATACGCAATAGGCCCGGCGAGGGCACGTGAAGGTAGGTTGGGATGCCCTGCTCTTCGAACTCGGCCGCCTGGTCGGGTCGCCCGCCGGCGATGATGGCGAAGGGGGGCTTCACTTGGAGGATTTCGTCGATTTGTTCTTTGCGGATCTCCGGCGGAAGGAAGCCGAGGATGCCTACGCCCCAGGATTGATCGCCCAGAAGCTTGTTGGTTTCTGCGAGCAGGCGGCGAACTTCTCCGCCGCGCATGAGTGCCAGCGCCAGGAAGGGCAACCCTCCGGCGTCGGCCACAGCTTTGGCGAAGGGTGCGGTGTCGCTCACCCGGGTCATGGGGCCTTGGAGAATGGGGTACTTCGTCCGGTGGCTTTCGGCCAACGGAGCCCCTTCGGCCAGCGGCTTCGTCTCACGAGCTGCCTGTAGACCGGTCTCCACGTTTTCGATGATGCCTTCGATCACCCCACCGACGGTAACGAATCGGTCGGCCAGCGATTTGGCCAAAGCGGCATCTTGCCCAACAAGTGCCAGCGGCGATGTGGCATGTTCTGCGATCCGCTCGCGAACGATCGTTTCCCACCGAGATTGCTGTTCTTCTTCCGACTCGATCGAGTGGAGTTCCAGAAGTGCTTTCTGCAGCAGATCGGGAAGAGGAGCACCGGGGCGATGGAGCACTCGATAGGGCTTGCCGAGATCGCCACCGATGCAGAGGCTCTCGCTGCCATCGGAGGCTTCCAGGGCTTGCCGCTGAGTATCGTCGAGCGGGGATTCGCGGGTCAGCAGTAGTTGTGTATCGAGGACGACACCCTGAACGCCGGCCGCCGCACAGGCGGTTGCGGTGTGTGTGCCGATCCCACCTTGAACCCAGGCCGGAATGTCTTTGTCGGCGTTCGCTTGCATCCAGCGTTGCCACTGTTGAAGCAAGATGAAGGATGTGTTGTCACCCACCCGGCCACCTGCTTCGTGGCCTTTCAGCACGATGCCGTCTGCTTTGAACTTCGCGGCGGCCTCGATCTCTTTGCGAGAGGTCGCTTCGACCAAGATCTTAATTTCGGGGTCGAGCTTGCGGAGCTTCTTGGCGGTGTTCTTGAGTGCTTCGAGAGCGTTGCCGGCAATGAGGACCGTCTTCAATCGCGACGGGAAATCTGCTAGCAGCGGCGCGACGATGTCCGCTCCGCTGAGCCCAACCTTGATGCCGAATTCTGTCGTGGTGAACTGCTCGAGGCGGCGGGTATTCTCGACCGCAAGGGTCGGGTCATCGCAGTACTCGAAGTCGAGCATTCCGTTGGCGCCTGCTCGGCAGGCGGCGATCGCGATTGACGGATCTAAGACCGTCGAAGGTGTTAGAACCAAGATGTCACATCGACGCACGAGATCGTTCCTCCGTGTGCACGGACTGGGTGCTATCCAAGTCGCGCGGCACTCATTTTGTTGGTGGGTGGAGTTCCTTGATCATACAGCGTAAGGCTTTGAGCCCGAGAGCCATATGACCCAATCACCGGTTTTATTGCGAACTACGCATAATACCCAATTTCCGTGCAGCTTGTGAGCCCGCCCACGTGGCGGCACTCGACGCTACAATCATGGCTTGGGATGCTTTCTTATTGTGCGAGGTGAGTTCAGAAGTGCGGGCCTCAGGTCGAGGCTGCGACCTCTGAATATCGCGGTCAGGTTGGTTGCTTGGGGTGGGTGAGACCGTGGGGGTCTTATCACACAACCTTAGGTTCCAATCCTGATGTCGCCAGTTCGCACTTCGCACTCGTCACTGCACAAACTAGGCGAATCCTGGGCCGAATCGTTACAAAACTCATTTCACGCCGGGATGGCTCCAGCGTTGAACGGCAGGGGCTAAATATTTACTTGAAAAAAGGTTACGACTTCCCAAGTCGGTAATTCTGGTAAAACGGCCCTGTTCCCAACGGTGTGACTGGGAGATTCAACTGAGTGTCGATTCTTGTCTTTCCTCTTAATTAGCGGTGAACGATGACGGGGGCCCCAGCGGAAATCGCCGTCCTCATTGGCACCCGACCGGAGGCCGTGAAGCTGGCTCCGGTGATCCGAGAGTTGAAAGACCGCGGGGCCACGTGCCAGGTTGTGGTGACCGGGCAGCACCGAGAGATGCTCGATCCGGTGCTTTCTGAACTGGGGATTGAGCCCGACCATCGACTGCAGGTACTTAGGCCGGGCCAAGGTTTGGGCCCTCTGGCGGCTTCTTTGTTGAGCGAGCTGGTTCAGTTTCTTGAAGCCAGCCCCCCCCAATGGCTGATCGTTCAGGGCGATACATCCTCGGCCGCCATGGGGGCATTGGCTGCTTTTTATTCGAAGGTGGCCGTGGCTCATATCGAAGCTGGGTTGCGTACCCAGGACGCTGGTAATCCTTTTCCCGAGGAGATGAATCGTCGGCTGATCGCCGATCTTGCAACTTTGCACTTCGCACCAACCTCGACGGCTAGCGAAAACTTGCAACGCGAAGGAATCGACGCGGCTCGCATCCACGTCGTTGGAAACACGATCGTTGATACTTTACGCTACGCGCGGTCACAGCATTTTCAAGATGCTGAAATGGATTTGACTCAACGGACGTCGCGGAGAACAGATAAGCAGCAAGTGCTGGTTACCTGCCATCGACGTGAAAGCATCGAATCGGATCTGGCAGAAATCTGTCTTGGCATCCGAGCAATCGTCGAAAAACTTGCCGAAAGGGTTGAGGTCGTCTTCCCGATGCATCGCAATCCGGAAGTGCTAAGTGTGATTCAAAGACAGTTGGGTGAAGTTGCCGGCGTGCGCCTGATTGAACCACTAGGTTACTTGGACACCATTGCGGCGATATGTCAATCGAGGGTCGTGATTACCGACAGTGGTGGTGTGCTGGAAGAGGCCGCCACGCTTGGCGTGCCTACACTTGTGGTGCGAAGAGCTTGCGAGCGGCCAGAAGCATTCGCGGCAGGTGTTGCACTTTTGACGACACCCAAGCGAGATGTGATTTGTGAGACCGCGGTGCGACTACTGACCGACAACGAGGCACATCGGCGAATGGCGGTCAAAACCGACGTATTCGGCGATGGGCACGCGGGCGAACGAATTGTCGATGTACTGCTGCAACAGACGACACCCGCCAAGTAAGATGGAACGAACCCTCCTGGCGATGCATTCCATACTGAAATGGTCGACTATCTGAATTCTTTGACAATCTTCGAGCAAACGATGATCACTCGCACTGAACGTTTTAACGCCATGCACATGCACAAGCGAATCCAATGGAATTTACTTTTGATTTCCGTGGTTCTATTCGGGGGCAGTACCGCACTTGCTGCCGACGCTGATTTGCAGATGGGCTTCGCTGCCGTAGATGTCACGCCTGATGTGAATGGCCCGAGACCTGTATGGATGGCGGGACAAGAGTCGAACCGCCGCGCGACAAAAGTAAACGACCCGCTGTATGCCCGAGCGTTGGTTCTCGACGATGGTAACCAACAGATTGCCCTGGTGTCGGTCGATTCGATTGGCATTCAACATCCGTTAGTGCTGAACGTGCGCGAGAGATTGCCAGAAGTCGATTACTGCCTGGTGGCCAGCACCCACACGCATGAAGGGCCCGATTGCATTGGCATCTGGGGCCCAACGCCGACCACCTCGGGAGTGGATCCACACTATCTCGAACAATTGGAAGACGGGATTGTGAAGGCGGTCGAAACTGCTCGCACAGAGTTGACGTCGGTTAGTGCTGAGTACGGTCAAGCCAGCGACAAGAAACTGCTGCGTGACTTCCGGCTTCCGGTTGTGCTCGACCCTGTGTTGCGCGTGCTGCGTTTTCGCGATGAAGACAACAAAGACCGGGCCTTGTTGGTGCAATGGAACAGCCATCCCGTGGAGCCTGATGGGAATCATGCCATCACGCGAGATTGGATTGGGATGACGGTCGATCAACTCGAGAAGCAGTACGGTTGCCCCGTGATCTACTTTACCGGCGCGGTGGGTGGATTGATGGGTACGCCGGACGATCTGTTCTTGGATGACGAAGGGAAGCAGAAGGCAAAGACGTATTTCGAGTTCATGGGCATGTACGCCGGTGCGGTGAGTGAGTTGGCGAACCAAGCGATTGATAGCGTGTCGAGCATTGAGCTGACTCCGCTGAGAGTTTCATCCAAGTCCCTGGCGTTACCGCTGGACAACCCCGGGTTTCGCGCGGCGCGTGCGGCAGGTGTGTTGAACCGGCCTGCTTATGCGTGGAGTGAAGCTACGAATGAGCTGGGGGCCGAGTTACCAGCCAGCGAAGTGAAGGCTAACCAGGCGCTGCGTAGTGAAGTGGCCTACGTGCGGTTGGGCGATCTGCATGTGGCGGCGATCCCGGGCGAGCTGTACCCAGAAATGGTGTATGGCGAGGTCTCGGAGACGGCTGAGCCGGAAGCCGATTTTCCGAACGCACCTGCGGAACCGAATATTGCCGACACCCTGCCCGGCGACCGGATGCTGGTGTTTGGATTGGCCAACGATGCGGTCGGATACTTGGTTCCTCAGCGGCAATGGGATGTCGAGCCGCCTTTCTGTTATGGCCGCAGTTCTGCCCAATACGGTGAACGCAACAGCGTGGGGCCGCGCACGGCCACCGTGGTGATGCAAGCGTTGGTAGATCGGGTGAAAGAGGCCCAAGCAAAACCGGCTGAATAACCGGGAAATTAGAACTCTCCTGGCCTTTTCAGGAGACCCTCGGTTTTTTTGCTCGCCCCCCCGAGATTCTCTCGAACCATGCGCGGGGTACGGCGTAATAGTAGGCAACCACCCTTTTGGTTTCGAAACCTCGAGGCCGCCTCGCTAGTGAGGCGTCTCAACATGCGATCCGTTGAGCAGTGAAGCCGACGAATCAAACGGCAAGATGCTTCGGATTCATTTTACCTTGAGGAGACTAACCATGTTGCGTTATGGATTGCTCGCAGTTGCGGGCCTGGCCTTAACGGTGCAGACGGCGTCTGCGAACGAGTTGGCAGAAACCTTGCTTGCGCGAAAGAGTGCCGTTACTGATGCGATGAAGCAGAACGACGCGCAGGCCTTCCTGGATTTGCTCAGCGATCAGGAGTTTTCCATCACGGCGAACAACGGTCGCTTGCCTGGGCTCGAAGTGCAAAAGGCGTTCGATGCCAAACAACTGACCTCGTATGATCTGAGCGATGTGGAGCTCGTGGATGTGGATGAGAACGTAAAGATTCTCACGTTTAAATACACCTGGAGTGGCACCACTGGAGGCCAAGCGTTTGAAAACGAATCGGCTTACGGTACGGTCGTCTATGCCAATCGCGACGGCGAGTGGAAGTCGATCTTCTACCAGGAAACACCAATCATGGGGTAACCCCTGGATGAAACCATCAAACGCACGAAGGCCATCGGCACATGGGTTGTCGATGGCCTTTTTTCGTGGATTGACCTGCGGAACGAGCCTGGATTGCATCGGGAACAGCCTCTGAGAGGGGCCTGACCTCGAATTCCGTTGCGATTTGGGCGGCGGTCCGATAGGCTAATCCTACGGTTGCGGTGGCGACCCACCTTAGCATTCCGCCACCTGCTTTATGTGCGTTTGACCTCCGAACGCGGTGCGATAACCCAACTCGCGGAGAGTGCCCATGCCTTTGTCGGCAGGACAAGGCTGCGAGCATCCGAAGTTCCTCGATCGACGTACGGCCATCCAGGCCGGGGCCATCGGTCTGCTCGGGCTGGGGATGAACCACGCCGAAGCCTTGCAGGCGGCCACCGGAGAATCCGCCGCGCATCGACCGAAGGCGAAGGCCTGCATCTATATCTTTCTCTCGGGTGGCTTGGCTCAGCATGAGAGCTTCGATCTGAAGCCTGAAGCTCCTGAAGACGTACGTGGTGAGTTCAAGCCAATCGCCACGAAAACGCCGGGCATCGATATTTGCGAACACTTGCCGATGCTCGCCCAGCGAAGCGATCGTTGGGCCCTGGTGCGGTCGCTGACACATCCATCGAATGAACATTCGGCCGGCCATCACATCATGCTCACCGGCAAGTCGGAATTGCCGCCGGGTTTCAATCCCAGCAAACCATTGCCGACCGACTTCCCCAGCATCACGGCCATCGCAGGGCGGGCGATTCATTCTTCGAACAATCTGCCACCCGCGGTTGTGCTGCCCGAGCGACTGGTGCACAACACGGGACGCGTGATCCCCGGTCAATTCGCCGGCCAGATGGGGCAGCATCATAGCCCTTGGATTCTGGAGGCCTCACCGTTCCATCCGCGGTCCTACGGAGCGTATCCGGAGTACGACTTC